CAGCGAGTACTTTGCTGCCTAAGTCAACCTCAATTAGCTGTCCAAGTGACTTCACTTGAATGACTTCATGGGATCGATCCGGCAAAGATTACAGGAACTACCTTCAGCGTCTCCAGGCTCTGCATTGAGACACTGTATTCTCGATGAGGATATGCTGGCTATCGCTGCGCAGTGATTTGCCACACATGCTCACTAGCCTCCATATCCATCCCTATAAGAAAACCATTGGATTGTCTGAAACCATCAGGATTGATGACCCAGGCAGGACGACGGTCCAGGGGTCCAGCACGCCAAGGGAAATAAGGTAAGTATATTGCTTATTTTATTTAATTTGGGGGAGAGTTGGTCATTACTAGTACACTATATACAATACGTGCATGCTACAGTGTTCCTTTGACTTATTTTAATTGAATAATGTTATAATATTTGAAACGTTATGAAAACTTTGAATCTGTCTCTTCCAAAAATTTTGCAAAACCATTTATTGTAGGTGGCTGAAAAGCTAAGATTTCAAACAGCATAAATGCTGGATTTGATTGAGGGGGACATTTTTCAAGTTAAAGGACCACTATAGTGCCAGGAAAACATACTCGTTTTCCTGGCACTATAGTGCCCTTAGGGTGCCCCCACCCTCAGGGACCCCCTCCCGCCCGGCTCTGGAAGGGGGAAAGGGGAAAAAACTTACCTTTTTCCAGCGCTGGGCGGAGAGCTCTCCTCCTTCTCTCCTCCTCCTCCTCCCAAGAGCTGCGCGCGCATTCATCCGGTCACATAGGAAAGCATTCATAATGCTTTCCTATGGACGCTGGCGTGCTCTCACTGTGAAAATCACAGTGAGAAGCACGCAAGCGCCTCTAGTGGCTGTCAATGAGACAGCCACTAGAGGATTAGGGGGAAGGCTTAACCCATTAATAAACATATAAAAAAAATTTATATAAAGTGGTCTGGGTGCCTAGAGTGGTCCTTTAAATCCTATCTCAATTCCTTAAAATAAAAATATCTCAAAACCTTTAGAAATATCACCTTAACATGAGGGAAAAAAAAACATTAAATATATTTAAAGTTTAACTCATTTTTGATAAAGTTTAAATCGAATATTCTCTCTCTGCTGTGTGATAGACAAGCAGTAGAATATATATTCTTTGAGGTTTCTCAACTCTGCAGTCATTTAGCTGCTCTCCACAAAATGTGATCCTTCAATCTCTTAAAACTTGTAGGTTAAAGAATGACATTTCTCATATGTCTGCTAAAAGTGATGCAAGGAGGTATTCTTTGTTATTCTCCAGCAGACGTTACACCTTTAGGCGGTCGCATCCAGATTTGTCATCTGCTGCGCATTCAGACAGGGCAACTTGTGGGAAGGAGGTCACTTTGGGTGACAGAAGTTTACCAATCTAAAATAGACCGAGTTCCACCAGAGATCCTCAAGCTTATGTGGAATTAACTTTCAGGTCACAGACATGGCTCCACAGCTATCCATTCTGTAGAATGATTCCGAAAGCTATTCTAAAAATGTGGTTTAATCAGTGTGTAGAGGATAGACGTAGGGAAAGTCAAATGGAAAGCTATATGGTAAGCTCTGCAAATTACGCTTTGTTCACAGAAATGACACTGCATTAAGATGCAAAAATACAGATTTTTATAAAAAAAAAAATATATATTCTTTTAATTTTACTTGACATAAACATGCCCACAAAAAATTAATTAGACTAACTGAATAGCTATACACGTTTACTTTTTCTTATGGTTATGTGGAAGACATGTTTGTTGTAGATTAAAATGTGAAAGAGGCACAGGGTGAGAAAAGAAGGTGAGGTATAATATATATCATCTAATAAACATCAGATCAGGTTCATATAATGACGTGGTATATAAAATGTAACAGTGAAATATAAGAGATTAGACAATACACTGCGATGTAAATTAGCAGCACAGGGAAATTGCTTATAATAATGTTGGCGGTATACATAAGCACAGATTAAACTAAGAATTACATCCAGGCATACATGAAATTAAACATTGCCTTTTGGAGTTTGGAATTAGCAAAATTTCCTAGGTTTGCATAACAGGAGTCCAGACCCTTATTGAAAACCGATATTGGTGGCTAATTATTACGTATTGGTTCAATTTTGCTGAATGCCTAGATCAAGGATCTTAAACTCTGTCCCCAACAGATCAATGTATGACACCATACTAGTGACTTCTTCTGTTCTCTGTGACATTACCTTGTATTTACATTTTCCAAGAAAAGTTCCAAAGACATCTTTGACATGTATGCATGTTAAAGTGACACAATGGAATACTTAAAAAATTGAAAGAATATAGATGAATTAATTATATTGAGACATACTCTATAGATGGCACGCATCAGCGATTTTTTAAGAACTTTAAAGAACATCTGCCATCAAAGAAATATATGGAAGACAAGGTCTGTAAAAAGTCAAGAAAAAAGGTTTTACTGACCTTTATTCTTGCGCCAAGGCTCACTTGGTGCTGCTGCCCGCTATTCCTCCCACAATGTCATCCTGGTGGCATTGCTTCCTCAATGACTTTCCAATCCAATGCCCCTTATTGAGCTTTCAGTATGAAATGCGTGAGTACCACTTGCAAGTCAATTCAAATGCTTTTTTTTTTCCAGTTGCTTCTCCACGAGCTGCATTTGAGTGAAACTCAGTTGATGCAAGGAAGAGCTTTTAGTGGCTGTCTTGCTCCTGTCTATTGGTTGTTTTAAAAAATAAAAAAATAAATATTATTTTATTTATTTATGGTATTGGATTGTTCCTTAAAGCAGCACTATCATGCCAGACTTACCTTTCTTTAATTGATTCCTCTTCTCTCCCTCTCTCGGGATCTGTTCTTCATTTCTTCCTGTCTGCTCTAGTTTTCTTTAAAACATAAGACAAAGTAGGGACTATTTGTCTTATGGAGGTTTCCTACGCCTGACAAACTCTGACCAGAGGAGGAGCAAAGTGTGCTTCATTTCCGGTGGTCAGAGAAATGATCCCACAATTCTAAGCTTCCCTCCCTGTTTCGGCAATGCATCCTGTCAGTATTGCCGAATGTCCTGTCATTTAGACAGGATGCCAGTAAAACCGCCGAATTGCATCCTAACAGAATGAGAACAGTTTCTCCATTTGTGTTAGGATGCAATTCGGGACTTTATTCGGATTGGAATTTCATTCTAATGAATGAAGCTCCGATCCTATTCCTGCCGCCTAGTAGATAGCTCTCTAATTCCCACGGTATTGGGGAGCTATCTACCAAAAGACTGAAAGACCTAAATTGGTCTTTCAGCCACATTTACTAATACTAAGTAAAGAATCCTTAGTATTAGTAAATGCTGCCCCTACTCGCTATATCGCGAGTAGGTGCATGTCTATTAAACAGTGAGCAGCCTGTGGCATCAAATGGTAAGTTTTATATTTTTTACAGGTAGTTAGTTATTTTATTCCCCCCTCACTATTTTTAGGGTGAGGGGGGTAGGTAAGGGATTTTTTTTTTATTTGGTTGGGGGGGTGACTAGGGGTTTGGGGACCCCTAGTAACCTTGGGGGGGGGCATTTACATTTAGGGACCCCTCCCGCCACTCAGGGGTGGGGGGTACAGGGGAGGACAGTAGGTTACCCCCCTTATTGTTATTTAGCGCCCCCCCCACCCTCTGCTTGGGGGTGGGGGCCAGGGGGAGGACAGTATGTCCCCCCTTATTGTTATTTAGGGCCCCCACCCACCGCTCAGGGGTGGGGGGTGGGGGGGGGGTACTAGGGTTTTGTTTTGGGTTTTTTAACAGTGAGCAGCCACAGGCTGCTCATTGTTAAGTAGACATGCCCCTACTCGCAGTATAGCGTGTAGGGGCATTCAGGAGATTTTAATCTCTCTTTTGCTATTATGGGGGTCATATTGAACACCATAGAGTGAGGGAGGACATGGGGGGCTTAGGAAGTGGAGGGGAGCACAGCTCCCTGCCGCTTCTATCTTTACATATTACAAGGAGGGTGCTGCGCGCCAGTAGCTCCCTCCTTGTAATAAACTGAACGAACAAACGAACACCGATATTCAGTGTTTGTTTGTTCGTCTGACATTTACATTCATTCATTCGACTTTCTGACGAATGAATGAATAGATGAAATTCCCGTTCACATGCCCAAGTGTTTAACTAGTGCTTTCTAGTGTGGGCAGATGACGTGTCCCACAGGGACTTCATCTACCCACATAAAGATGGTGGCGCCCTGAATATAGGTCGGAGCAAAAAATTAAGTTTAAAAAATAGGTAATATGGGGAGCTTAGGGGCATTTGGGGGTGGCTAGAGGGTCAGTTAGATGTAGTGGAGTTGGTAGAGGCAGGGGCAGGGCCAGATTAAGAGCCCAGTGGGCCTGGTGCTGACAATTATGATGGGCCTAATTACAGAATCATATCGACCAAAAACAGTAAAACACTCCCAAGCGTCATGTATCTGATGGAAATGGTGCTGGAGAGAAAGAAAACAGCAGCTATAAGAAAACACATACCCTAGGCTATTCTCTCACTAATTTATGTTTTCATCTTTCAAGTAAATCCATAACCCCTAACAGCAGTGTCCAGTCAAGCAGGAAGTCAATGGGCACGGTAAAAGGGTGTGCCACTGACACAAATCTCGTAACCTGCCAGAAGGGGCGAACATGCCCCAAAAGAGGATATGTCTGCTCAAAGAATTAGAAGGCCAGCCTGGTATGAATGCATGTCAGGCTGCCTGCCAATCATGCAGCTGGCCAACTAAGGGCATACTATGCAGACATCACCCTGAGCTTGGCATAAATGCATCT